AATGCACGCTGAAACTAGGCCCTGTCTGTTCGCCGAAACTGTACATTTTTTTAAAATATTCACACCCCTTTCGTAGTCCGGAGTCAGCTAAGCGTTTCTACAACCGTTACGGCGACGTTCTGTGAGGTAATAATTCACGAAAATTAGCCTCATTTTAATTTTTCCCGACAAATTTTCTTTGTGTTTGATAGAGAAGACAACCGCAGTCGCCATTACAAAAATCGAAAAATTTATTTTCGCAACAGTTTCATTCCGCGTTGGTAGCGTAGCATTCACATATTATTTCATTGTTATTTCCGATTTTTATGAAAAACTACAAACTTAACAATTTTGACATTGACAGCCGGACTGTCAAATTCTGATTAATAAATATGCATATGTGTCCCCAGTACGTGACTGTTGTCTGTAATTCCACTTTATTCACTTGCATTTGTTCGTGTATTGCTAGGGTGCACTGGGATTTGGTGGTGGGTCAGGGGCTAGCTATGGACGTGGTGTATTCACAAAGAGAGAGTCTGGCATACAACCACGATTACATCAACTCGGACGATGAAAACCTTGTTTGGAACAATAGCTGTGAACCGGACGTCAAATCAGAAAAAACAAATCCAGTTTCACCAATTTCCAAAGAAGAGATCAAGAAAAGTATAATTCAAAAGGTAAGTTGTGCAGTTTTTTTTTTTTTTTTTTTTTTTTTTTGGGGGGGGGGGGGGGTTCTGGCTTCAGATATTCATGTATATAGTATTTGAAACAACAAATAAAAAAGTAACATGAAAAGAGTGGTACTGAATTGCATGTACCGGTAGTATTGTATGTATTATTAAATTTTTTACTGACATTACTTTTAATTGTAATATTAATTAACAAGCTAATATTTTGGTATGGCTTCTTTTTTCGGTTTAATTTTAACATTGATAAATGCTTGAGTGTGTTGTCTGTTTATTGAAAATCTTCTTTGTTAGTTTTATTCTTACAAACGTCCTATTGTATCTACACCATCTGTAATACATAGTGTACTGAAAATTACTTTATTTTAGTTAATATTAATTTTAGCTGATAATACTTTTTAGGTATTTTGTGTAGAAATTATTTTCACTGATATTTTAATGAGTTTAATGTAAAATATAAGAAAAAAGGTATATTCACTTGATTTTATTTTTACTGATTCATTCCTTCATAAAATAAAGTATTCTACAGTACTAGTAAAGGTGAATAAGAACAATACACGGATATATAAATACATTATCAGTTTTATTTTTTCAGTTCAGTGCTGCATTAAACAATTGCAAACAAAATTTACATTAATCTTTTATCAGGGGTTTGTTAGTATGAGGCTAATTAGAAGAAAAGTTTACAGAGAACAATATATCCCAGTGATTACATTTATTACTTTAATTGTCCAAGTTGATTGCAGAACCCAAATCAGAAGTAATGCATGTTGTGGACCAAATTGATATTTTGTGCTCTGGGTTATGCTCATTATTGAATCATTATACTGTAAAACATATATAAATAGCTACATGCTATTTTAGTGAATTTGACTCCATGCATGAATTAACTGAATCTTAATTTACCTAAAGTGTAAACAATCTCATTGTGAGAATATACTTTATTTTAAATTAGTGACATCTTGTATTAGCAAAATTAAAGATTAGCTAAATTACTAAATTAGCTAAAATAACATGCTAGCTAAAAAAAAAAAGACATGTTTTACAGTTTTCTTTGAGAATGGTGGGTTGTAATTTTGGGTGTTTCTGGCTTGGTTTGATGGTGAATAAATGTTGCCAGATTGCATATATTAATAGTGACTTGTATATTCATTAAAAATAAAGTAATGTGATATACATGTATTATTCTAGCGAAGAAAAATTACTAAAATTGTTGCATTTATTATTCTGAAATTATAGCAGAATATTATTTTGCCCGCTTACTCTGTGATTAGGTGCCAATTTATATAAATAATAATATCATGCATTATTTGTCATTTTTTTTTTTTTAAATTATGAATATATTGCACTGCTGTCCCACTGTCTTAGAATATTCCCTGTATATTAACCTAATAATGCATTTGGCTCTACACACCCATTGATTGGTGTGTATACAAGATTAGATTAGATTCTAAAATTTGTGTGCCAGAAATATCATTTCCCTCATGTACATGTTGGCTAGCAATTTTGACTATTGTAAAATGCTTTATTTTAGCTAAAATTAATTTACACTGAAAAAAACGATTTGGGTGTTTTTTATGAAATTTATTTTAACTTATTTTTAAAGTTGAATATAAAATATAGGAAAAAAAGTATAATTGCTGTATTTTCACTGAATCATTCCTTCAGCAAAAATAGCGAAATTTAATTCCAAGCGAAAACGGTATATACATTTTTTTGAGGCAGACTAATCTAATAGGTGAAAGACCTCACTGTTTTGACATTGTACATATGATACCAAGTTTACTGATGCTAACCTTGCTAAAATGTAAACATGACCTGAGAATACAATATACACAGAGCTTAGTTGCTGATTTACATCACTGTACATACATGCACTGTTAACATTATATTCCCATTACTGGTCATTTTGGCAGTTGGGTAATTTAAGAACATTCATGAAAGTTTTCTGTCTACTGTATAGGGATTAATTATTCGCTAGGTTTTAATGTTGCTTATTTCACTGACAGCTAAATGTGCTAAATTAAAACCCAGTGAATACTCTTAAATAAAGTATTTTTGATGGAATTAATTTTCGCTGTAAAGACCTTTTGGGTGTTTTTTAGGGAATTTATTTTCACTGATGTAAAATATAGGTATATTCAGTGGATTTTATTTTCACTGAATCATTCCTTCAGCAAAAATAAAGTATTCTACAGTTGTCAAATTTAACAACAGAATGTTTTTACACAAATCAGTGAATTTAAATCCTAGCTAATATCTCCCAAATCAAATCTGCTAAAATTGAACACAGAGAATATGTCCCCTTTTTTCATGTGTAGTACCAGTAATATAAAAAGTTTTTCACATAATGAAATTCTCATAAAATTCTCTCAGAACAATGTAGATTTCTTTACATTTTATTTGGAATTGATTTTCACTTACCAGTACTATCGGTAATGCTTTCTATATCCTTGATATCCTTGTTGTGTACTATTATTACGAGTTACCCATATTTCAAATTCATGGAGGCCATGGTGACTATTACTTAATTGCGTTGTTGGTCTTCTAAATAGTCAATATTTCCATCACAATTTCAATCAGTCTAAGGCATTTTGGTTTTGAAATTTAGTGTCCTGAGAATACTGAAATTCAAGCCCTGACTTATGTCAATTATGCTTAATACAAGCCTCTCTCTTTATGCATGTTTCTTACCATCGGTAGCTAAAGTATTTTTTTGTGAGATTAAATTTTTCTGTTCTTTATGCAGTGTCACAAGTTAGCTAAGTTGACTGGATGTAGTCTCTTTATAAAGATAACAGACCATGAAGATGATGAATCGCAATATTATGGTACTTACGACTATGTTCGAGATTACCAGGACAACGAATTAAGACCAGATGAAAGAGATGTTGCTGTGTCAGGAGAATCTGGTGTTGCAATTACGTTTGCAGACATCTGCACTCAACAGCCGTGGAATATGTTCATGTGGACTCTCAATGACAGCAACAAACTATCGATGATTTCGCACCAAAATGACACAGATGTGCCCGACAATAATGATCCAGAGGAATGTAATGAAAAACTTTCAGAGACTGACTCGCAGAAAACTGAGAGTGCCAATGAAGAAGAAATGAACGTTGACAATTTCCAAGATGACATCGTCAACGATATCGATTTGGATTTCGACCATCAGAGTAAACCGGAAGATCTCTCCCAAAAAAAAGATGACAATGAGAGTGAAGAATATAAACCTGCAAAATTAAGTACTCTTCCTGTCAACTGTGTTTCTCCTACAACAACTGCTTCCACACTAATCATGTCAACTCCGACACCTGCTGTTCTCTCGCGGCGAGAGCATGACAACCTATTGAGCTGTCTTCCCAAGTTAGACAGTGTAGGTGGGTTAGTGGGAGAATCAAGGTGAGACGTTGCATGCTAGTTTACTGTCTTATAATATGTTTTTAGATCAGCCAACAAAAGCATTTAAATACCCATCATTTGCAAATCCCACTTTAACAATTTCTGCCCTTCTCAATGCAGAGTTGTCGGGAAATAATTTAGGTCCCAATCTTCTTGAAATAAATAACAGATCATTGGGGGACCCTGGTGACAGGCGTTTTCAATGTGAAGTCTGTGGCAAAGGGTTCAGTTTGTTGGGCAATTTGAAAACTCATAGACGAATACACAGTCAGGAAAAACCATTCAAATGTGAAACATGTGGAAAGGGGTTCACACAGTCTGGAAACCTAAGAGCACATGAGAGAATACACACTGGTGAAAAACCATTCAGCTGCCACATCTGTGCAAAGAGTTTCGTTCAGATTCAACACCTTAAAAGCCACATGCGAACACACAGTGGTGAGCGACCGTACCAGTGTAAAGACTGTGGTAAAGCATTCACACAGGCCAGTACGCTGAGGGCACATATTCGAATTCACAGTGGTGAGCGGCCGTATCAGTGTAAAGTATGTGCGAAAGCATTTTCACAGTCCAGCAACCTTAAAGAGCATGTGCGTATTCACACAAAACACCAAAAATTGCCCATCAACCAAGCGGCTTTAGTTGCGCTTAGTAATGGCGTGGATATACCTGGGCTGTCCCCACTGGACGAGGAAGATAATCTGGATGATGACAGTATTTTAGATATCTCTTTGAATGATTCACATGCTGCCACTGAAAACTTAATATAAATCATGATAATAATATTAAAAATTATTTAAAATGTGCCAATTAAAGAAAAAAAAGAAATATATCAATTTGTGCAAATGTGAAACAGAAGCCATTTCTGACAATGCAAAACATTTTTGTACAAATTACAGTTAATTTTTAGATGAGAAAAAAAAAATGGTTCCTTGATTGTTTAAATTTTTCAAAAAAAAATTATATTCTCAACAAACAAAAATTTAAAATGAAAATATCAGATTATTATTGTATGCACTCCCTGTTTATTTTGCCCCAGTTCATATTCAGTACTGTATCACATCTTTTAATGCAATAGCTATTTTTGTCAGTGTTTATTTAGACTAGAGTGTCTATGTGTGTGGCATTGCAAGCTGCTTTAAAAAACACTGCATCACTGTGTTGAATGAGGGTCCATTCATCACCAAAGTTATTGTCTGAAAGAACCAAACATTAATAAATGAGATTCTGTGTTCGATAAATTATGCCTGGGTTTTTAGTAAGACAGGATTTTTTGCTTCCTTGTGTACAATGGATTGTACATATTTAGCTTTAATGATTTCTTGTTCTAATCAGTGCAATGTAGTGGTACAGATTTACAGACTATTGTTCATGTAATCAGGTTCAATTCAGATGTACAAGTAGGAGTGAGCAATTATAACGGAGTTAAGGGGCTCTACTTGCTTCTAGAAACATGCTGCATTTACTGTTGCCACCATTTTGTTTCATACACCAAAACGGACATATTGCCAGTTCATTTCATTTTGCTAGGCATGTCACATGAGCATTAATTACTTTCAAAAGAAATAAATACTAAGAGAAACGTTCAATAACAACAAATGATGTATTTCCCTTTCAATTTTCAGTTATAAAAGAAATTAAACAATT